AAGGTTGCTTAGTGTGTTTTGGAGCTTCCCTGAGTGAACAACTTTCAGGTAGGAGATTCAGAACTGGTTCTTTTAAGGTCTTTTAAACCAGCAGTCACCAACCAGTGGGCCGTGAGAAAATTTGGGGCTGCAGAGAAATCTCACCCCAAGAGCACCCTTCCCAAAACAATTAATCCAGGCTGCGCAGAAACACAAGGCTGCTCAGCCCACATGGCCCGCGGGAACCATCCCCGCCCACTCACTCTTACCCGGCAAACTTGTCTGCTAAGTTGCTATTTTTTTTTCTTTTTCCGACCATCTGCTGTGCTGGGAGATTTAGATTAGCTAGGAAGCAGGAAATGGTTGGATTTCTTGCTTTCTAGCTAAGCACAGCCGAACCTCCCTTAGGACTGAAGGTTTGCTTGCAAGCAAATTCAGTGCAGACTCATGGTAAGCCGATTTGAGAGACTGAGCTGGCTGATGGCAGATAGACCACTCAATGATTTTGTGAGCAACTCAATCTGCCTGCTTTGCCTGATTTTGGTTAAAAGTTGCTTTTTTATATAAAAAATCAATATTTACATACATGGTGTGTTGTGAGTTAATTTTGTGAGTTTGCTTGCTAGCAAATTTTGTGTGACAGACTGAGCTAGCCAATGGCAGATAGATAGATTTCTGAATGAATCTGATTCTGTGAGCAACTCAATCTGCCTGCCTGCTTTGCCTGATTTTGGGTAAAAGTTGCTCTTTTTTATAAAAAATTAAATACTTATATAAATATTTATAATATTTACATACAAGCCATGCCCAGCCAGTCACATGACCACAAGCCATACCCACAAATTAGGCCACGCCTACAGAACCAGTTAGTAGTCCCTGGGATCTAAAATTATGAGTCTGGTGGTCCCTGAGGTCCAAAAGGTTGGCGACCCCTGTTTTAAACCATAGTGCTCTACAGTATTATAAAGTACATACTCACTTTGTCTCAAAACAAATTGTGTATTATAGCTTAGTACTGTTTCAGGTTGTAGAAAATTATCTAGAAATTTCTATTAGTACATGGACATATTATTTAAAATACTGTATTAAGTAACAAGGAATGAATGAGACAAAACAGTATGTAGAACAGAAATGTGTTATCTTTCTGTTGCCTCAAGATGAGTCCTATTTTAACATTGTTTTTTGCAAGTGAGTTGACCCAGGGCCCAAAGTTGGCCCAGTTGGGGAGATGTTAGAGATACAAAAGCTTAAGACACCAATTTTGCTCCTTAAAATATGAATTGCCTCCAAAATGTTAAAAAAGCCAGTTTTTGAGGCTTGAAAAAGAAGTTGTCAGATTGTCCATTTTGTATCACTCGTGTATAAACCAAAAATTTTAAAGTTTCTTTAATATTCTAATTTCCAGTTGTACACAAACTAATCACATATCTGGTTTCTCAGTGGAAATCATTACTTCAGTTTGAAAAAAAAAACTTGTTCAAATTAAATAGCTTTAAGTCCAAAGAAAATATCTGAAAGAACACACCATTTGTTTAAGTGGATGGAAGTAATTCTTCTTCATCAAAAGTTTTTTTTATAGGGGGGAGAACTAGGCCAATACCTAACAATGATTATTATTATGATGCTTAATGAGTTCAGAGCAATTCTAAGCATAATTATTGTAAAGATGAAACATGAAACTAATGATTCGAGTGTTTCTTATTTTAGGATCCTGAAATCTCTTAATATTACTTGTTATTAATATTATTTTAAACGGGTCCCATTTATCAGTTGAGACAGTCAGAAAATATGAATTTTTTGGATTAATGTTGCATTTAAAATGTAAATTTGAAGTCAATTCAAAGAGTTTGATGCAATATAGAAATTTGAGTTTAGATAAATATTAAAAGACATAAATATAGGATAAGAGCACCACTATGTATATTTGCAAGAAGTGTTTCCTGGTGCATTTTATGTTGCATTGTATGAATTCAGAACAGTACACAGATACATGTTTGGTTGAGACAGTTTCCTCATTTGAAATAAATATTATTGTAGAAAGCCCCCACCCCCAAGAATAAAATATTCCACAAAATAAGAAAAGAAATAGAATATATTTTCCATAAAGAAGAAGAGAAAAGTATCCTTAACAGAAACAGAAAGCAGCCCCAATCTTTCCTCCACTAAAACAGCCTGTAGCAGGCAAAGCTTAAGGATACTAAATTTCATTCATAAACAATATATAAATTGTAAAATTGGATTTGGCTAAAGTGATCTCCAAATAGATGGCAGAATAGACCAAGAGCTGAAATTGACATGACTAGGCTGACAGGATTAGATCAGGGAGAAAAAACACCTAGGACTTGCATTTTCCCTTTACCTTTAGAGCTGGTCAGAACCTTGAAGACCATAATAGAAATCTTGTAACACAATTAAATAATAAAGGACCCAGACCCAGACACCTCAATTACAAAGCCCCCCAAATATATAAAAACTCATCTACTGATCAGACCAATTTGCCAGTTGCCCTCAGAAATGCTTGCTGTTGTCATTGCTGTCTCTGGGCCAATAAACCTCCTTTCCAATGGCAGCCTGCCTCAAAGTTTTTATTGTTCTGCGTTTTTCATTATTTACATAGGATTGTGATTGCTATGAGCATTAGGGTAGGCATCAATCACTATCAATGACAAGATATTTTGGAAGCTCTGATTTAAATTGTCAGGGAGGCATCAAGATACCTACCTATGCTTTAATAAGTTACTTAAAATAAGTTGTTTTCAAAAAATACTTATTGTTTTATGATATTGCATAACTTTAACAAACTGAAAGGCACGTATGCGCACTAAGTAAAAATTGGATTACCACTTTCTAAAAAAAATCTAGCTTTGCTTTTAAGAAGAAAAATAATCAAAAGAACATTTGAAATGGTGCAGCATAACGAATTCCTATTTCTTACTGTATTTGCAATCTACATTTTTTTAAGAATTAAGCAAAACAAAACTTTCAAGTTAATTTTTTAAAAATACTTTTTAAATTAGTCTTTAAAAAATCTAAACAAAGTAGAATGCATAAAGTATAAAATTGAGAGAAATGCTTAATCGTGGTGGAGTGGAAATGTTAATTGGAGGCTAATGTTTGCCTTCAGAACAAATGACTTCCAAATATTTTTCCATATTCACATTGCTGGAACATTTGGGAAATTAGTGGCTAAATTGTGACAACTGTTGTATAGTCTGCATGAATTGATGCATAAGTATAGAAAAAATTAGTAGTGGAGTCGGTGCTTTTAAGTGAGGCATAAGAAATTTGTGGCTAGAAGAAAAAGAAGAAACTCACGGTACTTCTAGTTTGGTATGCTAAAAATATCAAAGAAGAAATAGTTGGTGCTGTTTGGAACTGTTCCTATGTTCCTATACAGTAACTATATTGGTTTTAAAAAGACAATCAAGGTACCACATGTCACTAAGCCAGAAAATAGCTGAAGTCTCTTGGGAAGCTTTGCCCATAGTATTCTGTGGTGCCATTATATGAGACAAAGTATGCTAAATATGATGACATAAAAAAATAAAAGATTCTGTGAATATTTTTTTTACCTTAATTAAGCTACTTATGAACAATGGACAATGGGTAAAAAGTACCGTACAAATAGATATGCTCATATCAATTAATATACAACTAACAGATAAGCTTATTTAAAGAAATGTTGCCAAAAATGTAATCCATATTAAGTAATATAGTAAAGATAGTTAATACAAATACAACAGCACAGTGTGACATCTAATTATAATCTGAAAATATATAACCATTACAATATATAAAAATAGGACTCAGAATATTTCTCGGTCTGTTAGAGAGTACAGACCTAGAAAGGGTAGCAGTGGGCAATATCACAAGTTTGCCTTCTAATAGTGTATTTATGAATTGTTATGGCTAAATGATGAATACAAAACAAACAAGAAAACACTTGGATAACTGAATGTATATCTTAAAATAAGTTAAGAACATTTATTATGAAAGTTTGTGGACTATCAAGCTTCATGTGTCAGGTTTTAGTAAACAAAATACATGAGTCATAATCATATTTGAAATAGTAATTTTTTTGGATGGGCCATATTTAAAAATGGGAAAACATTAGTTGGGTCTAATATGGTGTGTCTAAACATCTGACTGTGTGATAATAATGCAATTAAAAATATCAAATGGACAAAATTATCAAACTTCACTAGAATTTGAAATCCTCAGCTGAAATTATATAAGACCGTGATGGCGAACCTATGACACGCATGCCAGAGGTGGCATGCAGAGCCCTCTCTCTGGGCACGTGAGCTGTAGCCACACCTCCGCTCTGTTGCACATGCGTGCTTCCTGCCGGCCAGCTGGTCTTCAGGTCTCTGCCATGCATATGTGGGGGGGGTGCATGTGGGTGGGTGTGCATGGGGTGTGGGGGCGCATGTGCATGCATGGGATGTGCACATGTTACATTTTGGGGATGCACGCTTTGGGCACTTGGTGCTGAAAAGGTTAGCCATCACTGCTATAAGGTAGTAGAGAGGAATCGTAATATTGTATAAAGTTTGGTAATTTTAACAGTTTCTGGCATTTATAATGTTATTTTAGTGTTCATATCTGAGACTATGGGTATAATTTAGTTGTAAAATGGTATCTCAAAATTTTACATCCAAAAGTTTTGGATGTATTTTCATTCTGTTTTTTTAGAATTTCTGAATGGCTTGTTAATGTTTGAGGGAGTCACACTGAAGTAAACATTCAGGTCTGATTTCTCAAGCATTGGATGAAAATTTTGTTTTAAAAAGAACTTATGAATGTCAAACTGCAACTAAATGGGTCTCTTAAATCTGAGTTCCCTTGCCCAGGAATTACTGTAAATCCTAAAATATTATTTCTTTCATGTGTTATTAATTTTGTAAATCGCAGAGTTTTGTTCAATAGGGCATTAAAATTCCAAGGAGTTATTAAATACCTAAAAACAAACAAATTAGATTATTAAAAATATTCTTTTGATTGTGTTTTCTTCTTCATAGAGTGATCAATGCAGGGAAAAGTACACATAATGAGGACCAAGCAAGTTGTGAAGTGCTTACGGTGAAGAAGAAAACCGGAACAACTAATTCAACACCAAACAGAAATTCCTCTAGTAAGCGGAGATCATCATTGCCCAATGGGGAAGGATTGCAGTTGAAAGAGAATTCAGTAAGTCTCTGTGTCTTCTCAGTGATTCATCAAGACAATTGGTTCACCTATAAACATTTTGATACAAGAACACTCACACAAACATACACACACACACAAACACACACACACACACACACTCAACTAGTGTTTTCTTAACAAGTTTATCTTCTTTCCTAAAATGTGAGCAATGCTGCTCTGAAACATACTACTAGAGGGCACTGTTACTCTAGAGTTAACACATTTTATTTTTTTAGTCCATACTACAAGTCTGGAATAATGAAACTGAATAAAGTACTTACAGCATAATTATTATACTAAAAGTACAGTAATGCACAATTACATGCTGCTGGAGGTGGGAGTTCCTCCTGTGTGGTATTAAAATGAAGCAATATAAGTGAGAGTTCTAGGTGGGGTATTTAGACTTACTAGTGAAAGTTCCTTAACAGCTTAATGAGTTTTTAAGGAAAAGATAGTCATGGATTTTTGACACACCTGTATTAATTGGATGTGAGCCAAATGCAATTGCTGATTCAACTTGAATAGAGTTGAGCTGATTTGACAGTTTAAGATTAGATATCCAAATTATATGTAGACATATTCATTCCTATGCAAAATAAACTGCCCTTGTGGATAAGAATAACTTTGAATGTTTTTCAGAGTTTGTTCACAAAATATTCTTGTACAAGCAGAAAACAAAGTAGATTGTAGAACTAGATCAAGAGTTATGTTATGCTTAGATTCTCCCCAGATATTCTTCTCCCTCAAAATTACCTCAGTCATTTGGGGAAATGTATGAGCTTGCTTTTATTCTAATGCGAGAGTCATAATGAAATATATTTCTTCTTTCCTTAAATAGGAATCGGATAGCATCTCTTTTCATTATTGGTCATTATTTGATGGCCATGCTGGATCTGGAGCAGCTGTGGTAGCCTCCAAGTTGCTGCAGTATCATATTGTAGAGCAGTTGCAGGAGATTGTAGACATCCTGAAAAACTCTGCTATTCCTCCACCAACCTGCCTGGGGGAAGAGCCAGAAAGCATGAATGCCAGCTGCAGAACTCTAACCCGGGCAGCCTCATTGAGAGGAAGCGTTGGAACTCCAGGTTCACCTGGCACTCCACCTACTCGTTTCTTTACAGAAAAAAAAATCTCGCAGGAATGCCTTGTCATGGGAGCTATTGAAACTGCATTCAGGGAAATGGTAAGTATCGTTTGGTGGTTTGGATGTCTTCAGAATAACTCTTATCTGTAACGGTAAATATACTTGGAGAATGGGAACTGGTATCTAAATACATTGCTGATCTAATACCTTTTCAAATGTTGAACATATAATAAATGTTTGACTGTACATTTGTAAACCAGATGATCATTGCCAAAACACATAAATGGATTATACCTAAAGTGGGTGACATTGGATTTACAATTTGCCCTTTTCTCTCTAATGAAAGGCAAGATGTATGAAAGTAGCTACATGGAGAAAGTTAATGATACGCTTGTTTAAAAATATGGCTTTTTCTTCACTGGATATTGCTATGGGGAAACATTACTTTGTGCTCCCAGAAGGGGGAAAAACATTTACTAAATAAATATAAAAATTGCAATATGAAAATCAGCTTTGCTAACTATTGTTTTTCTTTGTCCTTTGTACAGACTGCTTTCCATTGTCAATGTTAGTCATTTGTCTATGTTATGTGTGTTCCAATGAAAACCATTGTTTCTTTTTTATCCTGGCTGGAGGTCATTGTAATTATGAGATAAGCCTTGTTTAATAGAAATTGTAGAATACAATAGTTTTGTTATGTCTCACCTGTATCCACAGGTGAGAATACAAAGTTCCAGAGTTCAAAATATTCAAACAAGAACAAAACCAGACTCAAAAGGGTTAATTGTACTGTTTTCCAGTCCTTGGCAGTCTTCCCGGAATCTGTCTGGCAACTCAGAATTGTTCATAAATCACAACAACTGCTTCAAAAGTATCCTTTCGAATCCACAAAGCACTTTGCTCCAAGCAAAGATTGAGAGTCAACACGCCTCCTTAAATCCCCTGGATGGGCGTGTCAATCTCTCTAATCAGTGTCTGGCTTGACGCCTCCTTTCAGATTGTGATTGACATTTCAATCTTCTCCTAGTTCTAGCGTCAAGGCAACATCCGTCAGTGTCTTCCTCGCTAGAAACCTCTGGCTCATTTTGTGGATCAGCTGCTTGCATGAACGAAGTCCAAGGTTCTGGAGAGGATTGTCTCTCCGACAATCTCTCATCCTCCTGGCTCACATCTGTGTCCTCTGATAATTCAGAATCCACATTCACAGTAGGCTCAAACCTTCCATCTTCAGAGGTATCAGAGTCAAAACTCCCAGCAGGGTCAATCCTTCCAGTCACAACAGTTTTGCCTTGTGCTTCTCTATTAAGATCATGTCAAATATAATTTCAAATGTGACCTGTGGTGAGTTTGTTAAGAGCACCATCTGCACGAAAACAACCAGTCTCAAGAGCACCAAGCACTCCTCAATTAACCTCTATTTCTCAATTAACCTCTATTTCATTCTAATAGGGTGCGAAGTGTCTCAGGTGGCACAGTTTTGAAAACCCTGCCTTAAACACAGAATTATTCAGAGTGTGTAATAGGACTGTTTGAATATTTTGTATTTTTTTCTGAGTTCAAGAACACTCAAGAACAGCCGTTCTGTACTTCAGGCAATCATTTTGCACTCAAAATGGAGTTTTCAAATTAAAAAAGTTTCAAAACTCTTTGCACTTTCCTATTCTATTCAATTACTATCCACAACCTTTATCAATATTCTCTTCATCCATTATGTACATACATGCTGAAGTCTCTGTGGATTGGCACTGCTTTGCTTAGAACATGTCAGGAAATGGTTCAATAATTTTAAGGTTAAAAATCTCCAGTGTGCTGAGGAGAATCCAAGGAATGGGTTAACTCTGCCTCTCTGCTCTTTAGACTGAGTCTGTCAATCTTTCATAGCCATGCCTCTTGCGCATACATTCTCAGTTTTGACTCTGTCTTCAGCTCAAATAGACACTTATAGATTAATTCCAACATTCAAATTCAAAGAGCAAAAGACACAGAATTTCCCTTCCTTGGATTCTCACTTGGGCAACAGGAAGGCAATTGGCTTTCTCCAGCGTTTGCAGGGAAAATGAACTGACAGGCAGTCTTCCCGGTGTGACCAGCATAACTGCCATTATCCAGCTCAGTCCAGTGAAAAAAGCCAAGATCCCTTGGAATTTCCCGCAGTCTGCGGAGGGGACTGGAGTCATTGCCCGGTCTCCAGTGGATACTCGTTGGTGGCAATCAATCAGCCACAGCAGCAATGTTTCTACTTGAAACAAGTCTGCCTTATTCGAAGGGCCAGCCTGGCCCCAGGCCCCAAAGAAATGCTCCTCAATTCTGAAATCGGCTGTCACAGGAGCAGCTGCCCGAGTTAGGGCAAAAGTCCTTTTCTCCAAAAAGGTCGCTAAGGCCAAGGAGAAGGATGTGCAGAGGCGTCAAAAGGCCCTAGGCAAGCAAAACACTAAAGCTGAAAAGGAGGCAGAGTGGATTTCCAGTGGTGACATCAGGATGGTGTGGAGAAGGGTGATGGTTCTCCATTCCCTAGATCTGAAATTTTACAGCCTCTGAGTGAGGCCAGGCAAATTAATAACTTGAGCTCCCAGTCTTGGTCACCAGATGGCACTCGAGAGCAACCCTCTCAGCCACAGTTTTCAGTGACAGACAGCAATGAGATGTTCCTTTCTCCCCTTTCTAATCTGTTCCCAGCAGAGGGGCTTTGGGAACCAGCTCCAAAAAGGATAAAGTATACCCCAGAGGCTAACTTTACCCCTACAGTGGCAGGACTCCATCCAACAGAAACTCAGGAACCAGAAATCTCCCCTCAAATGAGGCTCTTGATCTAAGAGGCTATTGCTCAGGGGATTGCTGCAAGCTTGCAGCAAAACCATCAGACAGCCTCTGTAGCATCTGATAACATGAAATCGCCAGGGGCATCATTCTGCACCCCAGCTTCCAAGAGAATTGTCGGTCCTCCAAAGGTTTAATTCCCCTACCTCTTCCATGCAAAGCCAAGAATCTCTTGGATGAGGAGGAACATAGGGAATTGATGTCTGAGGATGAAGGGATAGCTCCAGAGCCCCCCAGCCTTCACAAGGCTCTTTCACCCTGCCTTGTTTAAGACTTTTTATACAAGGCCAAGACTACAGCTCACAAAGGAGCGGACCCATCCACGTCAGATTCAGCATTGGGCTTGTCTGACTCAAATGATTACTGTTTTCAGAGCCTACCACAGATAACGAGGCGATTCCCTCCCTAAAATTATTCCTGGATGTTGTCCAGTGACAATGGGCATTCACAGCCTGCTGACTACTGTAGCCTCTGCTCCCTTCAAGGGTGACAAGCTATTTCGAGAGGCCTTAGAGCTATCCTCATAGAGACCAAGGGCAAAAAGAAGGTCCTACCCTCCATACCCAGGTGCACTGACCGCTGGCCCTCACCTTACTTTCGAAGGTCCTCATTCAGACCAGCAGATGCTGTATCTGACTTCTCGCATGCACAAAGGATATATTTCCAATGTCAGGATCGCCAATCCGACAGGGCCGGCTACAGGAACAAACAGCAGTCCCAGTTCAAATGGCCATTTCGAGGTAGTGGAAATTGTCCCTTCTGTCACGCCTGACGACTGCAATTCCAATCCCCCCATTGGTAGCTGTCTAAGTCTCTTTGTGGTTCAGTGGGAAGAAACCACCACAGATGCATGGGTCCTGAACACAGTAGGCTAGGCTTCACTCTCAAATTTCTCTCCACACCCCCAAGATTCTTCATTCATTGTCCCATCTTAAAAAACATCTCAAAAATCTTTAAGTTTATTAAAATGAAGGAAACTGGCATAAGTATTCAGACCCTTTGTAACATCACTTGAAATCTAGCTCTGGTGTCCTCCATTTCTCTTAATAGTTGCTGAAATGTTCCAACACTTTGATTAGATTCCACCTGTGATAAATTAAATTTTTTGGACATGATTTGGAAAGACATACACCTCTATAGAAGGCCTCACAGCTGACAATGCATATTGTAGCACAGCAAAAGCCATGAGGTCAAAAGAACTATCAGCAGAGCTCAGAGACAGGATTATTGTAAGGCACAGATCTGGAAAAGGCTACAATAAAATTTCTGCTGCACTGGAGGTTCCTTAAAAGCACAGTGGCCTCCATAATTCTCAAATGGAAGAGGTTTGGAACAACCAGGACTCTTCCAAGAGCTGATTGCCCAATCAAACTGAGCAATCAGGGGCCTTAGTAAGAGAGGTGACTAAGAACCTGATGGTCATTCTGACTGAGTTCCAGAGATCCTGTGTGGAGATGGGACAGAATTCTAGAAGAACAACAATCACTGTAGCCACTCTGGGCTTTATGGCAGAGTGGCTAGACGGAAGTATATCCTCAGCGCAAAACACATGAAAGCCTGCTTGGAGTTTGCAAAAAAGTTCCTGAAGGACTCTCAGCCTGTGAGAAACAAGATTCTCTGGTCTGATGAAACCAAAATTGAACTACTTGGCCTCAATTCTAAATGTTACGTCTGGAGGAAACCGTTCATCATCTGCCCATCATCATCCCAACAGTGAAGCATGGTGGTGGCAGCATCATGCTGTGGGGGTGTTTTTCAATAGCCTGGACTGGAAGACTGGTCAGGGTTGAGGGAAAGTTGAAATTACAGGGTTGCGCTTAATGAAAACCTGTTCCACAGTGCTCAGGACCTCACACAGGACCAAAAGTTCATTTTCCAATATGACAATAATCCTAAGCACATAGCCAAGACAATACAGGAGTGGCATAGGGACAATGCTATGAATGTCCTAGAGCAGGGGTCCCCAACCACCGGGCCGTGGACCGGTACTGGTCCGTGGAACATTTCCTACCGGGCCACCGGTTTGCTGAGCGCCGCCATCTTGTTTGACGAGAAAGTGCTTCCGGGTGAGCTTTTCTGGTTGGAAAGTGGCGTTTGCGTCCTGAAGGAATCCTTGTGCCTTAGTTTCATCGAAGGGGGGGGGGGGCTTCAAACGAAACTAAGGCGCGAGGATTCTTTCAGCACCCAAGGCAAGGCGAGCCGAGCGACCACCCCAAAGCTATCCCGAAGCGAAGCCCATCGACAAAGGAGGAGTTGAAGGTGGCAGGGAGAAGCGGGGGACAGCTGGCTGGCCGGTCGCTCGGCTTGCCTTGCCTTGTCATGCGTGCTGATGCCGGTACCGGGCCGTGGATCATTTTGTGATGCCGGTACCGGGCCGTGGCACAAAAAAGGTTGGGGGCCACTGTCCTAGAGTAGCCCAGCCAGAGCCCTGACTTGAACCCTATCGAACATTTCTGGAGGAACCTGAAAATGGTTGTCCACTGATGGTCACCATCCAATGTGACCAAGCTTGACAGGATTTGCAAGGAAGAATGGCAGAAAATTCCCCAATCCATGTGTTCAAAGCTTCTTGCATCATACCCAGAAAGACTCGAGGCTGCCAAAGGTGCTTCAACAAAGTACTGAGTGAAGGGTCTGAATACTTACGCCAATGCAATAGTTCATTTTTTTTTTCTTTTTACTAAATTTAGAGACTTTTCCAAAATTGTGTTTTTCACTGTGTCAAAATAGGGTACTGAGGGTAGATTAATGAGAAAAAATGAATTTCAATAACTGTAGAATCAGGCTGCAGCATAGCAAGATTGACAAAAGTGAACGGGATCTGAATATTTTCTGAATGCCCTGTACGTGTATAATAAGACTCTGTCAGTCTCTGAAACTTTTGGTTCTTGGTATCTTGGGTTCATCAAAAAGTACACAGTTCACACATGAATCCGGAGGTGGCCTCATTAGGTAGTATAGCATCTGCTTTCATGTAACCGATTAAATGCTATTAAGCCATCTGTGTTGAACAGTGCTGGATCTTATTTTTGAGAAATGCTACTATCATTGCAAACCATACCCTGTTTTAATCAGCTTTGGGAGTACTGCAAGGACCTGCTGAAACACTAATCTTGTATTTCTAGTGTAAGAATATGGAAAGGCTGAACAGGACCTTTTTTATAGGCATTTCATATAAATAAAAGTTTTTGTACAACAAATGGTGTATTTGTAGGAACTAGAAGTAGAACTAGAACGTCAAATATGGGCCATATTTGACGTTCAGCTCCTCTGAACACACATGCACATGCACACACACACACCATGCCCCAAGCTTCTCTTTAATACCATTCACATAGTTGTTGTCTACTCCACATTGAAAAGGACATTTCTGCAGTGGGGAATCTACTCTACTTTGTAGATTGCCCTGTGCAATTTTAAAATCCTGGATTTCAGATTAATAAATGACTTTAATCAAAGGTGCTCAACATGTAGGCCTAGATTTATCTGAGTCACAAACTTAGTTTGTGTCAAGATGGCTCCCAGAACTCTTGTATTGTCAGATTTTGAAGCAGAAAAATTAACATAAAAATGATCTTTTAAAAAGTAATTCCTGTTTTTCATATTTGGTAAAGTGAGGTGATTTTTACTTCAAGCTGCTCTGTTTTCTTTCTGTTTGCTGCAAAACAGAAACAAAAGGAATCACAAGGAAACTGTTAGTATAATTTAACAATGGGTGCAGGTAGTCCTCAACTTACAGCCATTCTTTTAGTGACCAAAATTACAATGGCACTGAAAAAAGAAATTTATGATTGTGTTTCACCCTATGTCCCTTGCAGCATCTCCATGATCATGACAAAATTCAGATGCTTGGCAACTGGTTCATATTTATGATGGGTGCAGAGCAGAGGTGGTATTCAGCAGGTTCTGACCAGTTCTGGAGAACCAGTAGCAGAAATTTTTAGTAGTTCGGAGAAGTGGCAAATTCCACCTCTGACTGGAGATTTTACAGTATCCTTCCCCTGCAACACCCACCAAGCCATGCCCACAGAACCAGTAGTAAAAAAAAAAAAAGCGAATCCTACCACTGATGCAGAGTCCAGGGATCATGAGGAGTCACCTTTTGTGACTTTCTGACAAGCAAAATCAATGCCAAAACCAGATTTATTTTACAGCTATATTACTAATTTAATAACTGCAGTAATTCACTTAACGGCTGTGGCAACAAAGGTAATAAAACAGGGCAAAACTCATTGAGCAACTGTCTCATTTAGCAACAGAAATTTTGGGTTCAATTGTGGTAAGTTGAGGACTACTGTATTCTGCTTTCTGGCTTTCAGGGTTTTTTTAAGATAATATATTACTGCATCTACCATTCTTTTCTGTTGTAGTGCTTAGTTTTGGAACAGTCTCCTTCTAAAATGTGGTTGGCCCTAACTCTGATAGCCTTTAGAAAGGCTTTAAAACTGATCTCTTTTCCCCCATGGACATTATACCAAGATCATAATGGTATATTTGCTGTTTTAATTGTAAGAGTCTTCTAGTTTTATTGCTTATGCTACCTGCAAATGTGATCATGAGTGTTGGGGAGTCGTATATAACTCTTCCAAATCAGTCAGTCAATCATTATAGTCCATTTTACTACCATGCTGTATAGTGCTATGTGTTTAGTTTGTATAGTGTTATGTTGAGCGCAAGAGTTAACAACAGTTTTCTTTACTTCTGCTAGTGAAAAATAGTTGAATCAAGACATGAACTGAGATTGAAATCTTAGTATTTGACCTTCTAGGTTTGGACATGCAAGAACCATTCTTTCCATTTCATGCAATTTAAATTATTACAGTCCGTTCTGTTACTCTGGTCACATGGTATATGTGTCAAATAATTGTTTAATAGTACTTTGCTTTCTTGCTATCGTCCTTAATCAGTTGCTTTTTCTGCTCAAGAGTTAAGCATTCATTAATTTGTACTTTCCTAGTGTGCCAAAGGCAGAAGAAACAACCTAGCATGGTCTACTTTTCAATCTAAACATCACTCAGATTTATTGTCATGTTGAAATCACTTTCTAAATTACAATGTAATTTTTTTTTCTCCTCAGGATTTGCAAATAGAACGTGAAAGAACTGTCTTCAATATATCTGGTGGTTGTACAGCTCTTGTGGTGGTGTATTTACTGGGGAAACTCTATGTGGCAAATGCAGGTGATAGCAGGTAAGCTAAATTTGTCATTTAGCTGGAAAATTGTAAGTAAAGTTATTTTTATATTTACATTTGTATGTGTTCAAACTAAAACATAAATGTATTTCTGTCTCCTTTCATGAATTCCATTTTTCACAAAAATTAATTCTGAATGAAGTTATGTTCTCCGCCACTTTCTGATGCTAAATCTTTCCTTCTGGCGGTGTCTTAGCTGACTTGAAGTTTCTGGGACAATCTCTTAAGATTTTTCTTCCCCTTCCTTTTGATGCTCTACCACGTCTTCTTGCTGCATTACAAGTTAAACATGTTTCAGTGTTCGTCTTTTCTTGGGTTTTTTGGCAGTTGAAGCAAATAGTCCAGCAATCCAGAGTGAACGCATCAATCTGAAGTACTGAAATAACTTGTAATTATATTTTATGTGATTGGGTTTTTTTGCCTTCAAAATAAAACTTTGATTCATTTGGCAAATTCATATGTTAAAGTGTCCTTAAAATGAAATCAGGTCTTTGTGTGAAGGCTAGGCCAATTCCCCCGTCCCCACTTGAAGTATACTTTTATCTTTCTCTGTTGTGGTTTGTGTACTCTAATTTTTAATGATTTTTTTTTTAAATTCCTTTTTAAAATTCTTTTTAAAAATTTTTAAATTCCTTTTTTAAGGCATGGATTTTAGCATTGTTTGCACAAAGTTGCATTGCTGTTGTGCAATAGCATTTTAAAAAAATAGTTCTGTTAATGTTTCAGCAGTACATTGCAACATAAATACAATGCATTAAGCATAAATGTATATCAAATGCACTGGCTACCAATCTCTAAAACTATTCTGATAATGCAGAATTTATAGTAAAATTCTCAGCCAAAGATTTGTATTCTAGATAAATATATAAAGTTTACTCTTGTCTTCATAATCAATCATTTCTTTTATAAGAATTTTCTTAGAGGAATATAAGAAAAATACTTACTTGACTGATTTCTTCATCTGAGCCTAACATACTAAACTTATGAAAATGAGTAAGGAAATGCTTTCAGTAACTGCAGTGTTAGAGCAATCCAGATGGCAATAGGGAAATGGCCTGGCACAGCAGCAAAAGTCAGTAAATCCAAATAAAATACATTTTTAAAAAGAAATCCAGGAAAGAACTTCTCTAGTTGTACATATTATGATTACTACTAGTCATATTAGAATGGACATATTTACTACAGTATAATTTTTAAGCCGTTGCTAGAAAATACTAACATTTATGTTTGGCTATTTATGCAAATAGTTAGTAGATGCATATCAAGTACCAATGTATTTAATTGTAGGAGTCAGTGGAGAAAAATCATACTTAACAAAATTTCTTTGTTCCTTTCCTACTCTTGCTGTTTTCTGATCCATATAATAAATAACTTCTTGCTGTGAATATAGTAAACTCTTTTTTGTTCATTGTATCTGTCCCACCTCTTCCTTTATAACATTTAAAATGCTTCTTTAAACATGCATATGTTTCTGCCTCACCTATGCAAAATTCCTAATGTCTGTAGCCTTTTGATAAAATGAGACATACTTCCTATGGTTTCAAATTCCTAAAAACTGTCAAAAAGGAATTGATAAATGATTTTATTACTTTTTAGCAGATTTTTGAATCTATTATAGAGATATGCAGTTCATTGTTGTGTTTCAAAAAATTTCTGGTTGAAAATGTATGTAACAGAATCAGGGCATCTTATGAATACTTTTTCACAGCAGGAAGAGAGTGTTTTTCTTTTTTCTTTAGAGTATTCAAATGCCAGATGACCTTATACAAATGAAATTACTCTTTCAACTCTGCAGCATGGTAGTATGTGCAGCTTAAGCAGGATGACTTTCTCCTACATATTTGGATTTCAGTTTTCCCTCTTTACAAGAAGCTTGAAATCTAAGCTATATCACAGAGTTGCTAAAATATGTTGAATGTGTTAGTCTGTTTGATGGCTTATGAACCAAAGTATGCTGGAATACAGATTTCTTTTCCTTATATAGAATCATATGAAGGTGCCTTGGGAAAAATAGGATTTGGATTATGGTTTTGACAACCTGGACAAAATTATTTGTTATAACTTTGTTATTTGAGTTATTAACTTTTATTATCAGGAAATTCTTCATATAGCCTGGATATGACTTAAGACTCCAACTTGAGTCTACTCCTTCTGTGCTTTACTAAAAAGCATTATGTGATAGACTTGATTGATTAAAGTAGTGATGGAGGTTAGTATCTGTAAGTCAATCTGGTGATAACCATATGGAAGATTAGGCTTATTATATTAGGGAAGTACATTATGAAGAGTTTAATTCAACAAATGAAATTAAAGAAAGAAAAATAGTCATGTTGTATGTCTCTGAAACTAAGAAAAAATATAATAAATCTGAAGAAAAGTAGGCTGGTTTTGTGGAATAGAGTTCAATACATGCAGAGAATTAAAAGTATAGTTTTAATACATGGCTATTGCTAACAGGTATGTCAGAAGAAGTGTCATCTAGGCTGATAAAAATGCATCTGAAAGTACAATAGGAGCCTATTGATTAGTGAATACATACATACATACATATGTTTTCTTAAGTTTTTGCGGGTACTTACATGTATGGTATTCAGCTTTGTTCGGGTATTTTCCCACGTCATTATAGTTGTGCTTTTAAAGTTGTAGCAATCTCATCTGCCATCATCAGG